AATTTATTTAATCCAGTGAATGAAGACGGAGAAGAGACTGTTGTCTGCCAGTTAGTTAGGGTGGGGAAGGGAGAGAACTAAACACTCTGCAGGGAAGCAGAGCTTATTTAAGCTGAAGGATAGTGTTGGCATGAGAACAAATGAATATAAATTGGCTGTGAATAAATCGAAGCTAGAAATTAGTTGCTAACCAGCAGAAGAGTTCCTAGAAGCGTGTTCCACTGGGAGCAGAGGGAGCTGATCACCAAGGTGCTTAGAAGCTGAAGCTCTGTTCATGACCAGGATTATGTGCAGTGGGACTTGCCATAGCGAGGGGATGGGCCTGATGACCAAGAATTTATTTCTAACTGTATGTGGGCTTAAGGACAAATCGACATTCCCTATACAAAACATAGAAATAGAAGTGTTCCCTGCAGGATTTCCAGGTCAGAGACAGCTAATCCCCTTCCAAACCAGCTTCAGAGCTATCCGGTCTGGTACTGCCAGACACAGCCTCTGCACATGTCCTCTCTGTGGGCTCCACAGCTCTCTTGTGCAGCTGCAGGATGGGCTGTGTTTAGCAGCTGTTCTACTGCAATGCCTCTTCACCTTTCTCACTTTGTCCCCTGTGCATCCAATGCAGCAGCCGTGATGGTTGGAGGGACTTCTTGTCACAGTACAGGGGGAGATTTGTGCTAGAAGATGGTTTAAATGCTGCCTCTGCTTAATGTCAGTGGTGAGATCTAGTGAGAAGTTATTTAGCACCTCCTTTTTAATTTTTTAAAATACAGGGAAATAACTGTGAGAAGATAAAAGTCTGAAATTGTCCTTGTATAACTGAAATTAACCTAATTTTGTCAATGGTGATATGTCTTTCACTCTGCCACTGACATACCACATTATACCAATACAGCATGGTCTCTTCCCAGTTTTCTCCTACATTCTAGGGCAGCATGTCTAGGTTAAAAAATAGAAATGTGAGATTCGACCACAGTATTCTGCTCTTACCACCAAATAGCAGTTTGCTTTCAGATGCAATCTTAATTGCAGTGACATTCTTTTTCTGATGTTCCTAAGTTTCTCCACGGGTATGGAGAGGCCTTTCCTCCTGCTGTTTGACTACTGTCATGGAGAACATTTGGCCTTTGTTTATATTTTGAATAGCTGACAGGTACCATGCAGTCAGCTAGGACTGCCAGATTCTCCTTTCATCTAAAAACCCTCTTGGAGGAGGGAAATGGAACACTAAGATTATTGCAGATCCTACCTTCGGTGTCACCTCATCTCATCTGCTACAATATCAAGTAACAGGGTAACAGGTACGGTTGGTATGGATTATATGAGAACATGAGTGATTTAAGGCATTCCCTTTTCAATAGTATTTCTTACTATGTAATAAGCATTTATGCTTCCAGGATACTGTGGATTGAATTTCCTGTTATCCCTGGTTTTTGAGATTGCCCAGTAGAGATGACAGGCGAACTTCAGCCTTGATTTCAATTAATCTGGTGGGGTTTTATGCTCTGGAATTGAAATCCATCTCAGAGCTTCCTCCTTCAAAGGTAGGTCATTCTGAGACCAAAATCAGTATTTAGGTCAGCTCCCTCTGTTTGTTTTAGGGTATTTTGGAACTGGATGATAACAACATTTTTAAAGAAAAGAAAATGAGCCATGACAAACAGAGGTTTGGTAATAAGCATTGAAGTAGCATGAAAGTGACTGGTATTCTGCAAATGACCCATGTTTAGCAGCTTTGTGGAGCTGTATGCAACGGGAGATAGCTTGTAGAATTCCAGCTTTTAATGGGGGCTTTTTTTTCAGGTCAGAAATTCTTAATAATACAGAGCTGGTGCTTCAGAGCCTTATGCTAGCAAACCTGACACTAGGGAGTAATATCATTGGCTTTCATGCGCCTATTTACTGTAATAAGGATTATGGACATAAGTAAAACTTGCAGGTTTGGGCCCACAAAATTAAAAGAAAAGCTTTTTCACACCCTGAAACTGCATCAAAATTCAATTTCACCAGGAAAAAAAAATCCTTCTGATCTAGTCCCTGGAATGTGACATTTCATGGGTGTAATAAGGTTACAAACAGATTATAAATTGAAACCCTATAAATCCTTATTGTACTGTACCAAAGCTTCTGCTTTGCATAATACTCTTATTCCTGACTGTTCTTTGTTTTACAAGCTCAAAACTGTTCATTTCCTCTCATAATAGAGAACAGAGAGCCAAAAACACCGTGTAAAATCCAAAGGTAATTATCTGAGTCAAAGAACCTGAATGCCAGAGTTCATAAACTTCTGAACTTTTCTAAATGGTCTTGTTTGCACAGTGAGACTTCCCTCCTCTTTAAACATGTTGCAAAAATTGCACATTCTTTCTGCCAAGTGATAATGGTAAAAAACCCCAGTGTAGACTTAGTTTGTGATTTGCATTTGTGTAGTTCTGCCAGTATGTCCATAGCAGATGACTGATGAGTTTTCTCATCATAATTTCAGCAAGTGAGGGTGTTTGAATCTCAGGATGAAATACTGTGATTCTCCTTACTTGAGAGCACTGCTGGTGCTGATTTTGTGTCTAGCAGATGTCTTCCTCCAGACTAGCCTTTCAATATTTGGACATGTTTGTAGGTCTGCTAAAATATCACCCCTCTGCAAAAAGCAATTAAGCAGCTCACCTGTGAACCAAATAAATTACCCAGATTAGCAGATCACAGGCTCATTTATTCCAGGCTTTCCCTAAAGATGAGGAGCCTCAGAGGGATTGAATGAGAATGAGATGGATTTTCGAGTGAGCTCTCAGGGGCCACTTGGACCATGAGAGCAATGAGGGAAAACAGCACAAAGAGGGGTTTGATTGTAGGAAGATCAGAGAGTCTAGGAAAGGATTGATCGAATAAGAGAGCAGGGCAAATGTGTATGGAGGGCCACAGTTGTGAGAGACCAGAGGATGATCACAAGGTATTTGACAGGTAAGCCAGTGATGGAGAGAGGCAAATGCTCATCACCACCCTCGGCAAGCTCTGTCAGCTGCTGCAGTGAGCCTGGGCTGGGGAGGGAATGAGGAAAGGACTTTTAGGCCCATGAGAAAGGTCATTTTTAGAGGATTCCCATGCTGTTAAAGGCTAGAGGTCTGGAGTGCAGGGAGCAAGCTGATTTGCAGGGACAAAGAGGAAAAGCTGTCCTATGGAGATTTTCTCTGAAAGAGCCTTCATGGTGCCTGAGTGTCCACACAGCAGGAGGTAAAAGGAGGTGCCGTGGTGAAGTGATTGAGGTTTTTGTATCAAATGGAAAGCCTGAGTCACACACTCAAGCTTCATTCCCCTCGTGGCTGTGCAGGTTTAACCACATAACACACGGTCTGTAATGATTACAGAGAGGTTTGGCTATGAATTACTTGAATGCGTTTAATTTTGTCCTGTTACTTCTTTCTCTTTCAAGAAAGAGCACACATTGCCCTCACTGAACTTTTCTGATGGCATTTCATAGCGCAGGGCATGTGTGTGCTTCTTGCACAGGTGCGTGTATTATGCATGGCTACAGATCTGCACTTAGGAACATTAACTCTGCCAGATTACAAGTCATATGTTGCCCAGCACCTCTGCTCTGTTCATGCATCCTGTGCCCCATGACAACTTTTAAGAAATGACAATAAAGTTTCAGAAAAAGATCTGTCGTCTTTTACAGGCAATGGAGGTCTGTTTTCCATGGCGACGGTGCATAATTTTGAATATATGCGATTTTATGTGGCTTTCTGACTGATTTCAAGATTTCAGAAAAGATTGGGATTATTTTCTTTGTGTTCCAGTATGAGCTACTGAGTTTCTGTAAAGCTGGCATTTTCTGTGGGCCCATTATGGAACACATACAGATTTCATCCCTTTGCTGTGATCAAATAAAAACTGGAAATATTTTTTGGTGGTGCCTTAGTGGGAATAATGTCATTCGCTGAGTAATGCAGCCATCTAGTGGCACAACGACAGAAGTACAGCAGTGTGGAATAATTTCTCCAAGAGAGTCCGGGAGGATGAGCTGGGTAGCTTCTATTGGGAAAAAAAAAGATTCTGAAAGTTCAAGTGTAGTTTTATTTTCTTTTATTTTCTAAAGCTGTGCAAAAAAATTTCAAACAGTTAAACTTTTAAAAAAAAACCAAGCCAATTTTGATGCTGGCACTGCTTCACCTGCCTGTTTCCACTCAGAGAGAATTAAATCAATTTTTAAATGCTTTTCTGAACTAGATCTTAATGAAAGAAACAGAGCAAGCTAATTTTGTGGAAGAGTAAAAGGTACACAGCCCTGTCCTGCTTTTGGATACACTCACATGGATGACACTGACCACAGAAAGATGTGCCCCCGAGTCAGCAGGGCTGGGGCTGCTGTCACTCCCACACACATTCAGACAGAGCCAGAGTTAGCAATGGGAAAAACTGACTTGATGTGTGCTTCAGTACTCAGAGTTTATGTTCACAGTGTATAGGGTTTTATTTCCACCGCCACAATCTGTACATTTACTGAACTAATTACACTTACTGAAAGAAAATATGAGTAACAGGAAGTGAGTTAAAATTTGGGTTGGAAACTTGATTTAGCAGTTCTGTTGATTTTTCAGGTTGGAGGATAAGTTTCTAAAGGCCTAATTTTGTAAACCTTGTTTACGTTGAGCAACACTTAAGTAACACTTCCTTGCTTTGCAAAAGCAATACCCAACGTGAATCACACAAGTGGAGCCATGCATGAGATTATCCAGGATCCATTTATCAGCTTGTATCCCTGAGGCCTGATCCAAAGCCTGTTGATCTCAGTAGAAAAAAAAAATCTTGGGCCTTAGTGGACTTCCAGTAGGATCTATAATTTGAACTCTGTGGTCACTTGGAAGTGCAGATGATCATATTCTTTCGGTACCACAAGGACCTGGTTCATACCTGAATCTCTGGTGCTCTTCCAATGTGAAATTACAATTAGCTTGCACCTGATGTTGTATTTCTGTTAAGCTGTAACCTCTGTTCTACCTGAACAGCATATCAACAATGACCACATACATGGTGAGAAGAAAGAGTTTGTGTGCCGATGGCTGGACTGTTCCCGAGAGCAGAAACCTTTCAAAGCCCAATATATGCTGGTGGTCCACATGAGGAGACATACAGGGGAGAAGCCACACAAATGCACTGTAAGTAAAGGAGTCTTTACTCCAAGCTTGTACAAGGAAGCTGGGGCTGTGCAGAGAAAAACAGAGCAGGACAAGTGCTGCATTCCCTGAGCTCTTATCTGTCAGACCCTTGTGGAGAAAAGACTGCTTTGTTATCCAGCACAACCAGATGACAAAAGCTTTAGGAGAGGGGATTCCCTGGATGATTTGGCCCACTTCATCAAGTTTAAAGTACAAAGAAGCCCCAAAAGGCATTATTAAACAGGTTTGTTTAATTGTTTAAAGGCATTTTTTCTTACAGAGCTTGATATTGGTGCTGGCCACCAGCCTCCTGGTGGCTTTGCAATGGATTTCAGTCTTAGTCGAAGTACACAAATACTGTGCTTTCCTGTAAGAGAAGATTTACATAATGCTGAAAGCATTTTAACTTGAGCTGTGGTGCAGTTTGCGTGGGTAAAATTAAAACCCTCCAAATCAAAACTACCTTAGATAAGGTTATGAAAGCTTGGAAAATTTTGGAACTTTTATAAGTTCACTTTTAGTGTTTCCTGCAAGTTCAAAGATTAAAACTAAACCAGACTTATTTCATGTTTGCAGTTTGAAGGTTGTACAAAGGCCTACTCCAGACTAGAAAACTTGAAAACGCACTTGAGATCTCACACTGGAGAGAAACCATATGTGTGTGAACATGAAGGCTGCAACAAAGCTTTCTCCAATGCTTCTGACAGGGCCAAGCACCAAAACAGGACTCATTCCAATGAAGTAAGTAAGCACAGCTTCAAAAGATTAATATAATTCATTGTTGAACAGACTTACAGTGTGGTCATAGTATTGTATTACAGAGGACAGGCACAGCAACCCTCAGCAACCTGAAAGGAATTTAACTTCTGGATGGCTCTTACCAGCACAGTATGTCATGCAGACCTGATGTTTTATTATGTATTAATTAGGAGAGTTTTGAATGAGGGATTCTAATGGAAACATATGCATTAACCAAGGACAGATCCTGTTTTCCCTGTAAAGGTGGGATCATTTTTCCCTCTCGAGCTGGAAGGGTTTGTTGAGTGCCTTGACCCATCCCCATGCCTGTGTTGGCACCAGGCATCTGCTGGGAAGCAGCTTCCCCAGCATACTTTGGGGTGCTGCAAACAGCCACAGTCTCTGCATTTGAAAGCATGGGTTGCCTTTTAAGTTCTGAGTTATGCCTTTTCCTTCTTGTCTGGCCACTTTTACTCTTTCTTTCCATCCTGAACAGACCTCATGGACTAGGGATGCAGCAGAGGAAATACGACCTTTCTCAATGAAACCAGCTGAGACAGTCACAGCTGTTTCCCAAACTCTCAGTGCAATATCTCATTATTACTGTGTTTCCTGTTACTGCTGCCTCCATTTCCAGGAATCACACCACGTTTTATTGGCCCATTTCAAGTTGCACAGAGTCACAGCATCTCAATCTCACATCTCAGAGTCCACTCTCTCCTTCTTGACATATGCTCCTTCACCTGTAGCCTAAACCTGGAAGTCCTGGAAGGGTGGGACATATTATATCAGCTGTAACCATTTCCACACAGCTTGTATCTTTCTCTAGCTGGCTGTCGAGTCTGTCACAGGCACACACTAGGGCCAGCAGATCTCCAGGGAGCATTTATCTTTTCCCAGTCCCTGCCCTGCAGCATCTCCTCAGTCACAAGAGAAGCAGAGGGCACTGCACATCTCTGAGTTTCCTCATCCCTGCCACGTGTGTTTTCAGCAGCCCACCTAATAATGGCACTGAGGCTTTGCAGTGATTTCGTGAATGGTCACCAAGGTAGAAGGAAGTTTGCCAAGCCTTACCAATAGCTGCCTGAGCTTTCTTTTTTTCATTCACTTTCAGAACCAATCTGTGTGCTGCCTGGTTGATGAGTTATACTTAGCAATGTGACCTGCCCCTGTGTTAAGATCAGAATTTTGTGTCTAATAGTAAGTCAAGCAGAGAAATTTTATGCTGCACATGATTTCTGATAGGTGCAGCCACAGGGAAAAATGAAGCATTTCCTTCACCATTACTTCACGCCAAAACTGGCTAATCTTCTAGGGCAACATGCACTGGTGGAGTGATGTGAATGCAGTGAATACAGACCAAATTCAGCACTTGCTTGCAGTGCCATTTTGGCTTTAAGTGGGTAATCTACAGAGAGCTTTAAAAACAGTTTACAAATCTTCATGATGATATTCCTTACTCATGCAGAGGAGAGCTCAGTAACTTGTACTTCCATAGCAACTTGAGAAAACCTGCCTTGGTAGCTCAACATCATCTCTAAATTGCTCATTTTTGCCCTTATTCAATTAAATGGGAAGAATTTTTTTCCACTGATATCAGTGGAAGCATTCTCGGGCCTTAGACAGCTATGACAAAGCTACATCTGTCAAAGGCTCCACAGTGCCATGTGTAATCAGACAGAGAACCCCTCTGAGAAACTCTGTATGAAGGTCTCTTTCTATTTTTTGAAAAAAAACCTTTAACATAGTAGTTTCCTGGAAACAATTCAGTAATAAAAATGAGTGAACAATACTTTGCTTCCCGAGGCAATTAAAGGATTTGGGAAGTGCTCAGGTCTTTCTTCTAATCCCCTCACAATACAAGAACAAAGGCTTTGTTAATTTATAAGACAGTAAATTTACTTTATTCTACATGCTTAGAGAACTACAGAAATTCACAGATAAAGAAAGTGGTTTCTAAAAAAATGAGTGATGAGTTATGCTAGTAGCATTAATAATAGTACTAGTGCATATATTGCTGCAATGTGAAAATGTTCATGGCACTGTATCTTATGCTTTGACCTCATACTGGTGATCTGAAGGAGCCAGAAAAAAATGTTTACTCAGTTACTTCTGCCTGAACAAATGGCCAGCATCTTTTGAAAGGGGTTTTTCCTCTCAGTGTCAAATAATAGGTATTAGGCATACTGGGAAGGCTATCAAACTGCTGAGGGCAAGGGACAGGATTGAAAATTAGACCAGTCTTCATAAATTGCCATAGCTGAGTTGACTCTTCTGCTAAGATTAATGAAAACTGTGCCAGTTGTGCTCACTCATGAGAGACTCTGCCCTCAATCAACTGTGCAGCACTAATTGCTACCTTCTGAAACAAGGGAATTATGGTTTTGACTAGGTGCAGTGACAGTTGGATAGGACAAGGGGTGATGGCTTTAAACTGGAAGAGGGTAGATTTAGAATAGTTATAAGGAAGAAATTAGTTACTGTGGGGCTACTGAGGCACTGGTAGAGGCTTCCTAGAGAAGCTGTGGATGCCCCATCCCTGGAAATGTTCAAGGCCAGGTTTGAATGTGGCTTTGACCAAGGGGTCCCTGCCTGTGCTGGGAGGGGAGTGGATAATTAAATAATCTTTAAGGTCCCTTCCAACCCAAACCATTCTATGATTCAGTTGTTGTAGAGACCATAAATTAGGTAACAAATTCACTGTGAAAGCATACAACTGTGACACCAGCTGTGTTCCGAGGAGTTCTCTGGGAGTCCCACGTGGAATTAAATCTAATATAGGTGTTCTTTTTTGCATCTTGTCAGAAACCATATGTTTGCAAGATACCGGGCTGCACGAAGCGCTACACCGACCCCAGCTCTCTCCGGAAGCACGTGAAGACCGTGCACGGCCCGGAGGCACACGTCACCAAGAAGCAGCGGGGAGACATCCACCCACGGCCTCCGCCACCAAGGGACCCGGGCAGCCACTCCCAGACTCGGTCACCAGGCCATCAGACTCAGGGTGCAATTGGTGAGCAGAAGGACCTCAGCAACACTACCTCAAAGCGTGAAGAATGCCTCCAAGTGAAAGCGGTCAAGTCGGAAAAACCAATGGTATGCAATACGCCGTGCCACTCCCTTTGTCCTTTTCTTCCTGCAACCAATTGATAATCCCTGTATGAAATGCTCAAGTCTGTGAACTCTGGCTCACAAGATTTGGTTTTGTGAGGTCTTCTTCTGTGTTTACATTGTAAAATGTTTTAAAGCCTAAGAAATAGAAAATAAAAAGATTACATCTAATCTGTGTAATATGGAATAAGTGCAGTGCTGGCAACTGCCACAATAATTGTTCCTCTTAAAAAACTCCCTCTTTTGGAATCAGCAGAGTACGAGAAAATCAGAGTTTTCATTTAAAAAAAAAAAATTTTCCAACCCTTCTGTTTCCAGAAGAAAGATGGTGAATCTGAATCTTGCAGGCTGAAAGCCAGAATAAGAAAGAAGCAAAACAAACCAAACTAAGCCACAACAGGTCCAAATGACTAAAATGATGATATTGATGATGATAATTTTTGGAGAACCTGGGGAAGCAATCAGATTTTAGGGGCTTGAAACTTTTGGGTAATGGATCAAACTCAAGCAGAATTAACTGACTTTCTTAAACAGCAGATGGGCATCTTTTAATAACAGTTGTGATGTGACCTCTTATGTTTATCTAATACTCAATCAAGTTAACCTAATTCAAGTTTAACTAAATCAACTTGAATTGACAGTCTGCAGATCTTTTCTCTGGTTTACCTTGAGGTATTGCATTAAACTGTTGAAAGAGCTGTATTTCATTTTTGAGGTGCTATCTTAAATACACAAGTTCTTTTATTTGACTGAATTTCATGTGCCATCTGCACTCTTCACAAGAGTTCATTCAAAGGCAGCCACTCCATCCTCTTCCCCATCTGGGTCTATGATTCATCTGTATCCAGCCCTACAAATATGAGCCCTCCAAATTCTGCTCATACTGTTAATCATGCTGCAATTCAAAGTGATTACTCACTGAAATATGAGTTACTGCTATGTTGTACCTAAGACTTATGTTCAAACTGTTCAGTATTAATACTGAATTAAAAAACTTTGAAGGGCTCAGAGTAAGCTCCTGCTGAAGTCTAAAGGAGGTCTTCTGCCATCTTTGATGATAACTACCTTAGTTTACAAAGGAACAAAATCTCTTTTGCTTTGCTAGGTAAACCTGTAACATTATTGAGATATGTTGAACACAGTTTTAGCAGGAAACTTTGTGGAAGAGGGGTACTAATGCCTGTAGCTTACATAGTATTAAATATTTCTCACTGAAAATTATATTTTAAAAATAATTCTGTGTATCTTGTTTTTCATTGCATGTATGAACTAGGGTATATTTTCTTGGTTTTCAACTAATCCAATGTCTTTTCTGTCTAATGCTCTTAAATGTCTTATTCTAACTTCCTAAGGACAGTGGGTAATAAGGTGAGGGCATTTTAACTTTTCTGCTGTTTTTCTTATTGCAACATTATTTATGTTTTTATTTTAGTCTTCTGCCTGTTGTTCAATCATTCCTTTATTTAGTAATGTGCAATCCATCAAGTGCATTCCCAGTTGTAATGTGTTGTGAGCATTTTGCAACACTTGACATGTGAAAAATCTAACTTATGTTGGTGAAATATCTTCAGAAATGTCTTTGTACTTTCCCCTCTAGATGAGACATCCATTTTTTTTGTATTGCACATCTAGAAATCTATGTCCTGCATTATACAGTTGTTATTTCTGTACCCTGCCTCACTGTGATCTTGACATGTGCTGCAAGAACAGGCTTCTGATCACTTTTACTCTTCTTCCATATGGCATGGAGCTATTGTCCAGAAGCACAAACTTTATTCTGTATAATAACTGCTATTTCTATTCTCTTCACCAAATCTGCTATGGCCAGGATTTGGAAATGAACTTACTCAGTGTGGTCTCATAAATTTTAAGTATCATCATTCAAGCTAGAAATAATAAAATAGTTATTGAATCTCAAATGGACTCCTTAGGGGCATATGAAACTACAGTAGTGCCATGAATCTGTGTCTTCATTCATTGATGTTTAAAGTGAGAGTCGTCCCTGCCACTTCAGAAATTCTAGACCACATTTTTCAGTAAAATGTACATAAAGATCACAGAGTGGCAGAAAAAAAACCCCAAAACCAAAAAACAAAACCACATCAGAAACCCTAAAAGTTAAATACTTACATGAAACTGTTCTTGTGAGCAAAATGATACTGCATGCCCCACTGATTTGTGATCACACTGATAGAACCTTACAGTGAGATATTAAGTCCAGAGACTTCTGTCTGTCTTTCTCTGTTTTGCCTGTTAGTTTTTCAATTTTCCCATTCTTTTGAGAGAACTTTATAAAAAGTCTGAAAAGTAAATCAAGACTGTGTTTTCCCACAGCAAGAGTTCTGCTAGAGCAGCAGGGAACACTCCCTGTTAAGAAAGATGTTATTGTGATATGTTTATATCCCTGCAGACTAGCGGCCTGTATGGTCTACTTAAATTCCTGCATTTAAAATCTTAAATTCTAATGAAACAAAGGATTTGGTTTAGTGGATCATCACCTTCTTGATTCAGAGCAGAGGTTAGGTATAAGAGGAGGTATAAGTTAGACCTGATGCTGCCAGGGTCACGGGATGCTGATAATATGATACAGTATTTTTTACACTGATGCTTTGTCCCTGTTTTATTACATGCTAACATTTCAGGCCAACCACTGTTTGTAACAATGAGCCTTAAGCCTGGAAAATGCTTACATTCTTTAGCCACAAGTCTAATTAAAAAAACCCAAATTCCAATGTTGTTGGAGTCTTCTTTGTTTGTTTGTTTACAAGCCTAGCAGTGTAAGCTAATACCTTGTAACATGGCTGAGTTTTGGTTTGGTTTTTGTGAGCTTCAGTTGGGAACAGCACATAAGCAAAATAGGGTATCCGTCTGTAGGTGCTCACAAATAGCTTGAAGTGATAGAAGTAACTCTGGAAATAACTTAGATAAATGTCTTATGGAGATGTATTGTATATCAGCAACACGTGAAAGGGGATTTTAGTCTTGTGTTTTACAATGCCATTCACTGCAGTTGAAGCCAATATCTAGAAAGTCTCTTTATGAACGATCAGTGTTATCATTCAATGCTGAACTTTTCTATACCTATATATCTTCAGCTCCATTTAGACCTTCTTTTAGCACAAAGGCTCTTAACATTGTTTGCTTAATCCTCACGCTCTTTTGTCTCTTACTTCCCTCCAACAGACATCTCAGCCAAGCCCTGGTGGTCAGTCTACATGCAGCAGCGAACAGTCCCCCATCAGCAACTATTCCAACAATGGGATCGAGCTTACTCTGACCGGTGGTGGTAGTGTAGGAGACCTCAGTGTCATCGACGAAACCCCAATCATGGACTCTACCATTTCCACAGCCACCACAGCACTTGGCTTACAGGCCAGGAGGAATATGACAGGGACCAAATGGATGGAGCAAGTGAAATTAGAAAGGTTGAAACAAGTTAATGGAATGCTTCCAAGACTGAACCCCGTTCCACCTTCCAAAGCCCCGACCTTGCCGCCTCTCATAGGAAACGGTGAGATGCACGTAATAAGAGTGATAACGCTTTTTGTCCTTAATCTTGTTGCTTGCTAGCTCAATCTTGCAACTCTTGCAGGAGTTGCACAGCTTGGGAAACTCAGGAGATGTGAAATTATTTGTAAATTGATCACTTTCTGTTTATTCCCTCACTGCAAGTCTTTCTATCAACCCTCTGAGAAGTCTGATAGTCCTGGGTGTTACAGAACAGGGGCTAGCTAGCAAGGGAGCCAATAATCACATTTTAAATATTCCCTACAGTTAAAGGTTTTGACTGAAGATTATCATAATTCTGTCTTGTTTTGAGGCAAGGCAGAAGAAATAAATACTTGTGAGTTTATTGTATGGAAGTCCTTCTGCTGAGGCTTTTGCAAGGCAGCCATTGCAGAGATGTGGTGGGCTTCCCTTTACATAACCTGTTCCCACACATAGAAGAAATCACATGTACAGATGCTACTGCTGAAAAGGGCAGGTATCCATGAATGGGAGCAAGGCGAGGTTGGACTCTGAAGATCCCCAGTTGTTTTCCTCCAAAGAGCTGCTCATGACCAAAAGGGATGTCACTGCTGCCCCTACTTTGCCTACAGCATGCCTGTAGGTTTCTGGGCTCCACCCAGCAGTGACAGCCCAGGTTTTCTGAGACCCATTCAATCAAAAGAAACTATGTAAAATTAAGAAACTTATCCTGTTTACTTAAAACCAAAACAAGGAAACCAGCAAAGATGTTTTGCGGTTGTTAAGAGTTATTTGAAGACTATTTCAAGAAGTCTTAGAAATGACCTTGAATAGCCTCCAATTTGTATATTTTGTCATTTCATGCAAATGCTTGTTCAATTATATTTTGCCTATAAAAAGCTCCCTTACGAATGTGTCCTCCTGGCACATCCGCCAGCATAGCTGCACTGCACCAGCTGATGACAGTTTGTGGCTATGGGCTATAAATTTTCTGCTGGGATTCACACTGAAATGTTACCCTTGAGTCTCTGAATTAACTTTTAACCTAAGGACACAGTTTTTATCCCTACTTCTTTCAAGAAAGAGCACTGTGATGACTGTGATGATGTTCTTCACTTATACTCCACTTACTTCTTTACCGTGTGTTTTTCACACCAGTTTCTGGGTAATACCTCTTTGATCAACTGTGAATTTTACCCGCAGGTACCCAGTCGAACAGCAGCTGCAGTGTCGGAGGATCCATGACTATTCTGCCAAACAGGAATGAACTCTCGAGTACGGACATCACTGTGTTGAACATGCTGAACAGGAGGGACAGCAATACTAGCACAATCAGTTCAGCCTACCTGAGCAGCCGCAGGTCCTCTGGAATCTCACCTTGCTTCTCCAGCCGGAGGTCCAGCGATGCCTCCCAGGCTGAGGGCAGGCCACAGAACGTGAGCGTTGCAGACTCCTACGACCCCATCTCGACGGATGCCTCCCGGCGCTCCAGTGAAGCAAGCCAGTGTGATGACCTGCCAAGTCTTCTCAGCCTCACCCCGGCTCAGCAATACAGGCTGAAAGCTAAATATGCAGCAGCTACTGGTGGACCCCCACCAACTCCACTGCCTAACATGGAGAGGATGAGCCTCAAGACAAGGATGGCACTCTTGGGTGACTGCAGGGAGTCTGGAGTATCTCCACTGCCTCCAGTGAATGTCCCTCGAAGATGTAGTGATGGTGGGGCAAATGGTTACAGCAGGAGGCATTTTCTGTCTCACGAAGCTTTAGGAAATGGGACAAGGAGAGCCAGTGATCCAGTCAGAATGGCCTCCGACAACCTCTCTGTCCCGAGAGTCCAGCGTTTCAACAGTCTTAATAGCTTTAACCCTCCTGCTTTGCCTCCATCCATGGAAAAGCGCAACCTCGTTCTTCAGAACTACACCCGTTCTGAGGGTGGCGCCTTCCGCGGCTTCAGCTCCCCCTGTCCTCCAAGCATCAGTGAGAACGTCGCCCTGGAGGCTGCTACCATGGAAGCAGGTAGCAGTCTGAATGATGAGGATCTCCTGCCAGATGACGTGGTCCAGTATCTGAATTCCCAGAACCAGGGCATGTACGACCATTTGTTGAACAATGTCCTAGACAGCAACAAAATGCATCACAGCTCAGTTTCAGGAAACAGCAACCCCAGCAACTTTGACCAAGCCCCTCCACCGAGCAGTCAGCAGGCGGGTCCCGAGGCAAATAAGAGTGACTTGCCCATTCAGTGGAATGAAGTAAGCTCAGGGAGTTCTGACTTATCTCCTTCAAAGCTGAAATGTGGTCAGCGGTCAGCAGTGCAGCAGGCTCGGACCTTCAGACTGTACAACAATATGATGGTTCAGCAGCAGAACCTGGAGAGAAGCAGCATGGCCCAGCAGAATGGCTATCAGAACCTGGTGGAGAGCAACACTTCCTACAGTTTACAGCAAAACATGACTCTTGGCAGCGGAGATGGGAATTCTTTCAGCATGCAGTCCAACAAGCCTTACAGTGAAAGCATGGGCAGGCAAGCAATGATGGCTGGGGTGACGGACAATTCCTGTGGTATGGCAGTGCAAGGGCAGAAGCTGAGAATCAGCAACATGCCAGTGAATGGGAACCAACAAAATTTCAGCCACCCCCTGGCATCCAGCGATCAAACCATCAGTATGGCAAATGGGATGCAGGACAGGAATATGATGGAACAAGAATATTTGCAAAGCCAGCCAGTCGGAGATGGTGTTCATTACCAGGGAGTCAATCAATCTGGTCAAATGATGCTAGGGCAGGTTAGTCCTACCTCACAAGGCAGCCTGTATCAAGGGCCACAGAGTTGTCCACTGGTGTCTAACACCATTAGTAGCCAGCCTTCAGGTTTGTCAGTGGCCAGAAGTTACCAGTCATGTTCTAATTACAGCAGCAGCAGACGGCAAAATGTCTTGAGAAACAACCTGTCCCAACAGCAAAGACACACAGGTGATGGCAACCAGATGTACAGGGTAAACACCATTAAGATGGAAATGCAAGGTCAATCACAGCAGTTCTGCTCTAACATGCAGAATTACTCCGGTCAGTTGTATGACCAAACCATGGGCTTTAGCCACCAAGCTATGAAAACAGGTTCTTTCTTTGGTTCAGAAGCCAGCTGCCTGCTGCAGGGGACTGCAACTGAAAACTCATCTGAGCTTCTTTCCCCGGGGGCTAACCAAGTGTCAAGCACAGTCGACAGCATCGACAACAGTCTAGAGAGTGTGCAGATAGATTTTGATGCTATCATAGATGATGGGGACCATGTCAGCTTAATTTCGGGAGCCCTGAGCCCAAGTATCATTCAAAATGTCTCCCGCAATTCCTCACGCCTCACCACTCCCCGAACATCTCTTACATTCCCAGCTATGCCTGTAAGCACAACCAACATGGCTATTGGGGACATGAGCTCTTTGTTGACCTCACTTGCAGAAGAAAGCAAGTTTCTTGCTGTTATGCAATAGACATAAAAAAACAAAAAAACACTTAGGAGACAACAGATGGGAAAAAAAAGACTAATATTTTTTAGTTGTGTATGTATTTTAGCAATCTCATCTCACCTAAATGGGATGTGTTTCAAGTATATTCCTTTTATGGAATAAGGACTCTGAAAACCCTAAAGTGTTCTAGGGAGAAACTGTCTTCCATTTCAGTTTTGAATCAGTATTGCTACACCCATTCTCTCCTTTTCTCTCTTTTCTCTCTCTTTATCTCCCTTTTCAAATGTCTGTATGCTTCCTTTTTTTTTTTCTTTTGTTTTTTAATTGTAAACCAATGTAAACGTGTGAAGTGCATGTTGTTTCTTTTGTTTTGTTTTGTTTTGTTTTGTTTTTTGTTTTGTTTTGTTTTGTTTGGGGGTATTTTTGTAAAGAAAGGCCTGATGAAAAGACTTAATAATTTTCTGTTAATCAAATGAGGCTAGACCTTATAAAACTGTTGCATCTTTTCCCCTTGAACCTTAAACCAGGCACAATGTGAAGTGAGCATACAGTGATGAAATCCTCTCTGGATGCATTGGACACATCACACTGAGGTGGAAAACCAGTTTAGAAATGCACTGCCATGGTACCCCTGGGCTGCAGTTTCAGCAACATGGAGCACAAAAAGTTGGGAGGTTCAAGCAAATAAGAAATGTAAGAACTATCAGTCCTTTGATCTCTTAAAGCGAAAGCTTAAGGATTTTGTAAACACACACACAGATAGCTGCCACTGCCATGAATAACGATACTGAGATTGTGTCATGTTCAACCTATTTCAGAGGAAGAAGAAGACCAGAAAGCTGTCATAGCCCAACTCTCATCTTTTGCAATATTTGGCATTCTGGTTTTCAGCCTTCTTTTTTAAATGACTGGATAGCAAATTATGGGCATGTGTAGTGACTTTGGTAGTCTATAGTCCTAATGCATAACACATTTGTGGAGATACAATCAGGGTCTTATGAAGTATTTCATACAATGAAATAACAACATAGCAGTATTTCATAGCGGGGAATTCTTTTATTTTTAATGCAAATTGTTGAGGTGTAACTTGCTGAGCAACTGGTTCTTATTTGCTGGAAGAACTGTGTGTTCATCCCCTTTAGCCCAGACAGCCCCATGGATACATACAGCTTCAGAAACATCATAGGCATGTTATGGAAAAGAAGCAGAAAATGAATGTCTGGCCCAGTTCTCCAACTAGCCAAATAAATCAAAGCAGTTGCAAGCAATCTGATAATCTTAAATGTTTTTCCACTGTGTCCAGGCTTTACAAAATTAAGAAATTTAAACCGCCATTAAAAATAGCAAAGAAACAAGGGGAACAGCAAGTATTCACAGATCACAGACTATTCTGATCTGGAATTATTATCAGGTCCAACTCTTCAGTGAATGGGCTGTATGAGGATCAAACCCACAACTTTGATGCTATTAGCATCATGCTCTAACCAACCGAGTTGTCTGGCAGCTAATCAAAGCTCAGAAAGACCAACCCAGCTTCTTTCTCTCTCTCTTGGTGACACCATGTGCGTTTAATTTCAAAGCAAACCAGTGGGTCAATGCCCAGGGTCAGTTGCACCGGCAAAAAACTGAAACCAATGCACTGTGATCATGAAGCTGCTCACTGGTAGAAGTGAGTGGGATTTGCTCTGTGAGCACTGGATTGTTTCTGGCTCTGCTGGGCTCTGTGTCTGCACTACTGAACACACAGTGCTCCTGGGTGAACAGGCTGCTGAGGGGAACAATCACAAGACCAAGCTTTAAGTTCACCCACTCCACTGTAAGGAGCTGATGTTATAGTAGACATACAAGGAGAAGAGGGAGCATAGTCAGTTTTGAAATACAGATAAACTTTAGCCCAGTCAAAATCAGAAGGTGACTTCTGTAGGCTAGAAAACCATAGCATTTTTTCAGTTGTAAAAGAAAAGGTGAAATACCAGCTGATTCAGGACAGGGCACTTGAGGAAATGTGTAGGAATGGAATCTCAGTGAAGCTGTCACATAGCATTGATCTGTTAACAGCTGTTAGAGGATGGATGTATAAATCAGTACGAAAACATCATAGGAATCTGGTGCAGGGGCCATATTTGAGCTTATCACAGCATGTACCAAGAGATTTGCACTGTGAGCTGGAATGTCAGAAATCAAGACAAATGTAACTATCCTACACCTTTTATCATGATCTAGCTCTCGTCTTTCTTTGTATCTTTAGCCAGCATTTCTTTCTTAACTTGTCCCATGCACACACATTCGCTCATCCTGCACTTCTCCCTCTGCCAGTTCCCCTCCCAGCCTCCCTGCCCCTGACCAGCTATCACAGCCTGCCTGCAGTGATCCTTGGGCTGCACAGGCAGTTGGGCACAGCTCACCATGGCAAATGACTGGATTGCTGTGGTGGCAGGAGGAAGCTACTCCCTGTTGCTCTGTTGTTGCCCAAAGGCCCTGTAGAGACCTGCTGACTGTACACAACCCCTGCTGCTGGAACAAGCATTCATTCCACTGTGCAGATCCACAGGGGCAAGAATGTTCCAAGGCCATATTGTGCATTGCAGCACTGGGATACAGCTCACAACCCTGCAGAGAAGCAGCACTGTAGGCATTGAGAAGAGGCTGTGCTGGACATGTTTCAGACAGTTCTCAGTAATCAATCCTGACTTTTTACTAAAGCCATCAATTACATATTTATAAACAATTTCAACAGGGAGACTTATGACCAGCCTGGGAATAGGTGGTTGGGGAGAGAAGTCTTTTATTGTTATGGAGCCGATACATTAAAAAAACCCCAAACATCCCCAACTATTTTTTAAATGCAATTTTCCAGTTCATAATTGTATCTGCTGGTGCAATTGATGCTGGGAAGCTATTAACAGATGTGATCCATCAGACCTTAGAAGGAGCCATTCATATTGCTCCAGGCTAAAAGGGACTGTTTGAGTAGCCAATTTGGCTTCCTGGATTTGACAAACCTTCGTCACTCACTTAGCCTTGTCTTGGGCCAGCAGTGTGTTTTGGTAGAAACCACATGCTCAAGAAAGGCATCCCATTTGATTTGGCAAAGCTGAAGAATCGGAGACTCCACTGTGTCCTTGGGGAGTTTGTGCAAATGATTTATTATTTTCACCATTAAGTATGTGCCACTCAGGTTCATATGTCACTCTTCAGTTTTTAGTGTTTTCTCAAGCTTTTCTGTTTTATACTAAAGAGCCTGTTTTTGGTACCTGTGAGGTAGCAATACATCATAGCCCATCTATCTTGGGTTTTGGTTCTGTTTTGATAAGGTAGGCTCATCTCTCTGAGCATGGCACTGTTACACTGGACACCGGCCTTCACTTGTCAACCTCCTTCTCAACATATTGCAGTCTGGGGAAAGCCACATCAACCCTGGTGGGATGAGTTTACTGGCATCCCTCTACTCTTCCTCTTCCAGCTACAGAGTCAAAGCTTGCTTTTGTGCACGTGGCACATGAGTTGATTTTTGCATAGCTGTTGGAAACTCACTGCTCACCCAAGAGTACAAGAAAAGGCACAAAATATCATGAATGTTCTGTTTTTAAAGCATTGCAGCATAAGTCTAAATCACCATTTCTTATAATGGCTCTGTGACAGTCTTCCATGTTTGTTACTGTTGGCCTTGGGCACATCAGTAACACTCACCCTGCCTGAAGCATGTGTGTTTCTCCAGACACTTTTATTTCCACAAAGTGGAAGTTGCCAGTGAAGAGTTTATCTGCCAGTTACACAAAGGTAAAGGAAAGGTGTGTTTGCAGGAAAGTCAGTGGGCTCCCACATGGCTTTACTGTGGGGTACAATGGTCCCACACATCCACGTGGCAGATGATGTTATTCTCTCCTTGGAGAATGGCCCCAAATGGTATGTGCATTAAGATGCTGGCTGGCTGCTGTCACTGTCACTTTCCATCACTGTCACTTCCCCCACCCCTCAATGAGATGGCAGGTCGGCTCACCCACGCCTGTCCCACCACAGCTTGTCTGCCAGGACAGCAGTGTTTATATTCTTGCAATGTATGTGCCTTATTTTGCGTTGACCCTGTAAAAGAGAGGGACCAGGATGTGTTTTCCAAATTTTCCTGATGAGGCTGTACTTGCCACTGAGCTAATAGCACATACCACTGTTAATAGTGTCTGAAACGTCTTGTAAACCTCTGATATTCATGTGTTATTGTCCTTGGATTGGTGGAATGTCTCCTATGGAACAGTTACTGTTGTCAGTCCTGCAGATGTGTAAGATAAAAAAATGTTGCTTTTTTTTTTCAATTTTTAAATTTTTTTTTATAAAGCTTGTAATCCTTTTTAAAAAAATTAAAAAAAGAGAACATGTAAATACATTTATGTACGGTAGGAATATAGAGTTCAGCTGTAACAGACCTTAGTGGTCTTCATTTGATAAACCTGCAGTTATGATCTGATGTTTCTCAAGCCTTAGGTTGATCTGAAGGGTCTGTAGCACTGTGTACATATGAACTGTACTTCTGCTTTCAGAACCACTTAGCTTTTTTGTAACAAAGAAAAAAATGTTTCTTACAATGTCAATAAAAACAAAAGCCTTTGTACTTAAGTTCTTAGCTTTCAGCTTCCAAAGTATCTCCTTGGGGAAGGGAGTTATTTTTTCATAAATCTGAAAAGCCTGGTTGCAATCAGTGCTTGTATCGCTTCCACTCAGAGCTGCTTTCCTCTTTCTGCTTCCCAGCCTGTTGCTTCACTTCATTCACAGTTTAAATAGACATGGGTAAACAAAACAGGGTGTTTACCTTCTTGCTAAAGAAAAATGGCTGATGGGTGTTGGGTGGAAAAATAAATGACAACACAGTGTCACAGAGATGAAGTATTTGAAGGGAGGAGAGAGACTGACCTGGTTAACTCTGCTGCAGGAACAGTCAGTTCAGAGGCCAAAGCTAAGTTGTGCTAAACTTTAGGCTGTTCTATGGAGGCTGTGTTTTCATCCCTTGCTTGCCAAGGGTGTCTAACAAAGGTTTGCCCC